CCAACCCGTAATTGCTTAATTGTACCACTCGGGCAGTTCGCTCAGAGATTTTCTCTTGCCCTCATCGCGATCGCCCGGCCAATTTGTCGAGGGTCAACTCACGAGCGCCCTCGAGCCGGTGCACTTTCCTAGCCCATGTGCGGAAGTGGCAATGAAGACTGCCCGAAAGTACACAGCCGCGAGCGCGTGAAGACTGAAGATCTCACCTCTTAGACGTGCTGAGCATTTCAACGGGGACAATTAATTGCACTGCATGCAAAGAATGTTTGACACACACTCAGTCTCAATCAACTGGATTGGCCCCAAACTCAACAACCTCAAACTGCTGATTATATCGATTCATAACAAAGGTAAATGAAATTATGTGGTGAGTTTCTGAAGACGTGATTTATTCTTATGTGATTTGCTTTCCCAGAACGTGCTTTTGCACTGTATTTTTCCATTCCAAGGGACAGATGTTACGGTCGGAAGTGGTGTACAGCCTTTCGGAAGGGTTAGGAACTGAAAATGGTTAAATATTCAAAATAATTGCATTGCAAAAGCTTGAATTTCAACAAATTGAGGCGTTTTCTAAATGATTTTGCTCATAAAAATCAATTTGGGGTGGATTTCAAAGAGATTCTTCAAAGAGATTGCAAAGACAAAACTAGAAAAAGCAAGACAGAAATTGGTTTTGAATAAATCCGGAGAAAACGCCTTCAAATGTTAGAGATTTCTAAGGCTTTTTTCATAGACAAAATGTCACTTAAATATGTTTCCACGCTGTTTTTTCCAGCGTGAAAATATCTCTAAATTTGTCTACGCAAACTCACGATTGTCACCTGAAATCTGCGAGGCTCTCAAGTGTTCAGACTGAGTGTGTTGTGTTCTTGGCTGTGTTTCCATTCTGACCCAGGAAGCAGATGCTCCCGCCACCATGTCATTGTTTCCCAAATGACAATCGCTGGACATGGCGAGAGACTCTTGAGCAGAACCAGAACAAGTTTAGTGCATTTGGCATCACTTAGCGTCGTCAATTGAGCGCATCGGAGGCGTTTTTGCCCTCATGCCCTCGCGATGCGCTCTGGTAAATCTCATAAGGAGCAAATGGACAGTTTCTGCAATCTTCCCATAGCTTCATTTCCCACTCACCATCGAAATTGATATGACTCCCCATAAATTGCGCGAAAACTGCTGCCGCGCGGTGAAAGAGCTCTCACGGCGGTCAGCCATTCTAGCCCACACTGGGGGACTCCACTAATTATGTTAACACGTCAATTAATTTCATTTGAAAGTGTATTAGCTGCACACTCGAGCCACTGTTTATGGCAGTATCTCTGTCGTCACATGATAGCGCAATTGACTGGCGGAGCACTTCGCGAGATCACATTTCCATTGGCAAAGTGCGTGCGCTCTTGTGTGAGATTTATTCCCAATCGCGCGCCTGAGAACAGTGCGAGAAATCGCAGAACAATCGCTGACTTTCCACAAAACCTTCTTTTTTTTGTGCAAAATCTCTTTGGAAAGTCCAGCATAATCTCATCTGGACGCTGTATCACGAAATTAATGCACTTTCAGTGGTGCAAAAAGCTTCTCTAATCCATATGAAAGCATAATCTTCGCATCTAAATGCGCGATAGTGAATTGAAAAGTCTTCGAAAGGAAGATCATTGTCCGCCAAAAGTTTGTCATTTTCCGTAAATAGCCTCGAGTGTCTCATCAATTTGTCTCTCGAACATCGTGAAAATTATTTTAAATGCGATATCGTGATTTCTTTTCTCTGTGCCTCAATTTGGCGCGCGTTGTTTGGGTCATTTTTCAGTTGCCATGAGAAAAATCTGTCTGTCTCGAGACGGTGTGAAAAATTGTATACAGCCAAGACGTATAATATCATATTTAAGGAGATGATTTATGGAAGTTGAAATTTTGATTCATTTAGTCCAATTTTTAATGTAAATGAGCCGTTTATTAACTGGACGTTTTTGTGTGATCCTCAATCTGGGCAGATGTGTCGTTCTTGGACAATGAGCGCGAGAGGCGTGAATGGCTCTTGAAGTTGCAGAATTAATCATGCTTTTCTTTCGATAGTCGGTCCATCGTGCAGAGACGCTGAAGATGGAATGTGAAATGGGTGGTAATTGCCATTTTGGAGCATAAAATACCGCTGGAATGGGAGAAGAATTGATCATCACTGTTGAGTGATATTATTTACCAAACATGTACAAATTCAGGCTGTTTGCAATTAATCCAGTGCCGCGGAGATGAATTCCACGTGATTATAAATCACAAGAGCGGAATTATGGGCTATTTGTAGAATAATTTACCTCTAAATGTCTTCATATCTCTTCAAGTGCATGTGAATGGATTTTTACTCCGTCTTTCTTCCATTTTTTTTTTCTACCTCCACATACTTATGAACTCTCCTTATGGCTGAATATTGTTGGTGTGCAGAAATTATATCATGAGCAAATTGATCGGCTTTTTGCATGGCAAGATTCCATTTGCCCAACACTGAAGGCTCTTCATTGCCTTCCACGGACATTATCAGCCTCATCATCATCAATGACAATCATTTCACCCGGTAAGTGCAAGGGAAAATGTGTTCATTGATAATTTGTCATTGAACGTCAAGCTCGCAAGAGAGTGAAAAGTAGCTGAAAAGGAGGCTGCAAATGGTGGAGCAGAGCCGCGAAGAAGGTGGTTTGCATGTGCTCTTCATGCATAATTAATGTCCATCTCATACCCAAAAATTTACCACCTCAATTCAACCCTCAGCTGTGCTATTAAGCATGCGTAAAAGAAATAATTTTGTGTTAAAATCCCATGAACAAAGTGCACCGAAAACCGATTATTTTGCAATTTTATCGAACGAGCATAATAAAATTACACCTCGACCCCTGTAATCATAAATTTCTTTATAATATTTCCCCCTCATGAGAGCCGCACATTTCGGATATTGTATAGGTAATTGCAATGAGGAGACGCCAAAAATTCTTAAATACTCCGCGCTCTCTTCAGCCGCGTCCTTGTTTTCCGCCAACACTTTTTCTTGGCTCTTCTGCACACGCACTGGAATTTTACGTGAGCAATTTGAAATCAATTTCTGCCAATCGCGCTCTCACTCTGGGGTTAAATCATAAAGCAAATATTTTCCCTCATTTATTGCCATGACGGTCTTCTCCAATATCTTTAGCACCTCGCAAATTAATTCTTTGGCCCTGTTCCGCCTTTTGAGCCACCGATAAATTCCTCCGCTTCTTGGGCCAATTCGGCAGCGTGAAAATTCATTCAACTCAAGATTATGGCTAAAATGTGAATATAAATATTTTCTTCACTAATTTAGAAGAACTTCTTGCTGTTTTCCACCTGATCAGTTGACACGACAACAGACAGTAATTCGGCGCGACAACTGCGGAGGAATTCGCGTTCGTGCGGGAAAAAAACAAGAACGATTTCATTTGTTGTGCAATGCAGCAATCCATAATTGTTTCCATATTTTCCCCTGATTTATCACTTTTCTGAGTGCTCCTCCTCTGGGCCACTTTATTCATTAATTTATTGTCGGCAATTTATTAATGGCTGCCCCTCGATGGAACATCTCTTTTCGCTCAGCTCTGTGGCAAATTGCCGTCGTAAAGAAGTCCACAAAATTGGGCATTAAGTGCATGATATTTTGAAGAGACAGAGCGGATCGTGGGTGGACAAATTGGCGGTCATGTTTGGGGAAAATATATCGCGCGCAAGGGAACAAGACGCGTGCAATAATTAAGTGTCGATTGGTCACCTGCCGTTTTTCACCCATTGAAAATGATTTGTGACCATCATTTTCCGATCGATGCCGCGATCGGTGCTCATAAATGGCCGTTTTTTCGGCTCTCGCGCTTTTCACTGCGGCCAAATTAATAATTTAACACGACACGGGCGGACTTTGTGTGCCAATCAATCACACTTTTTGATGATCTCCTCGCGATTGTTTTGGCCCACAGAGTGCACAAAAAATCACGCATCCTGCTGTGTGTGGCACTAAATCAGATTTTAATTGCTGCCGAACGTGTCTCTCATGTTGGACATCAGCACGAGGGGAAAGTCATTCTGTGAAAAACGTCCCATTCGATGTAATCACTTGTGAGTCAATTTACGAACCGTGATTGACCCATCTGAAGGCAAATATTTGAGCATTGGCAAATTATTGAGTTTTAATTACATTTCATTAATTTTGTCTTATCACAAAACTGTCTTTATTCTCCTTTCTTAGATTTGTAATAAGAAATAGTCATATTTATGCATTCAATCACAAAGCAACGCACAAGAAAACGAAGAAGCTCAATTTGCGCGGTGAACATGTAAAGATTTTCATGCACAAAAAGTGTTCACATCTTTAATGATCTTTCAGCGAAGGCCCTCAAAATTCTCCGCTTATTTGCAATTACATATTCAGCGTGGATGGGAAAGGTTGCAATGATTTAGGTGTAATTCGCTGGCCAAATACGGGGAAATTTAATAACGATACATCATGGTGAAAAATGGTGGAGAACCACCCAAGATATAACACATCATTCCATTAATTAGAGTAGATTATTTATTTATTCATCATTAATTATATCGGCGTGGATCGCAAGCAAATGACTCCTCATTTCTTTTCCCACCCACTTACAGCGACTCCAAATTAATTTCGCGCTGGAGCTTTTTTTTTCTCCTGGCCACGGCGATTCGGTCTTTAGCCACACGCTTAATTCCACACTTGGGGTGATAAATCAGCGGAATGCCGGGCGATTTGGCGAGAGGGAGGCAAAATGCGGAAAAAGGATCACGAGAGGGCTCGCCATCTCATTGATCTCCAATGAGTTATTGCCCAACAAGCTTCCAATTTCAGCAAATCCCGCGCCGAACAAGAAATCGCGCAATTGCTGGATAGCCTAACAAGAAGCGACACCGTGGCCGCAGGGGCAGCAATTTCGACATATTTAATTGCAGAGACGAAAATCGATGGTCCGGAAGAGAAAATAAGGCCTTCTTCTTACCTTGCAACCCTCACAGGTGAATGCACCAAAGTGAAATCCAGCGGCTGGTTCTCCGCACACTTTGCACTGTTGATTCATCTGCAAGGAGAGAAACAAGAAATCTTCATTTGAATAAATTATTGTTATTGCATCTGATGGTATTTTGGTTTATGTGGTGCAGAAAAAAAGAGCTTCACCTTCTTCTGACCTCTGTTCAGAGCCATTCTGTTCTGAATTTAATTCACCTTATCGTGCCATTCAGAGCACATCTGTTCAATTCTGTCCAAATTTGTGAAGTATGCTAAACTTCACAGAAAAGTCTTCACTTGCATCTTACAATAATATTCTTTTTACTCTCGTATGATTCTCCATAATTGGAGCTTTCTGATTTGAAATATATAGAGTTCAATTGACTTTTTTGCCCAATTCAGGAATCTATTTTTAAGCACTTTTCCACTGAATTGTATCGAAATTATCATATTGAGAGCTCTCTTTTGATAATCTGACCACAAATGGCGAGTTCGAAATTAACACATCTCCCCAAAATTCCTCTCGACATTCTGTTATGCAGATTCTATCCCGCCTTAAGTGGAAAGCAGTTGGAAGCGCGTGAGGTGAAAATTAGACTCTCAGCACGCATCATTGGCGTTTTTTTTTTCTCAACTCTTGGCCAATGAGTCAGTCGCCCAGTGTCTCTTGGTGGAAGCTCGCGAAAGAGGAAGAAATTGGCCACATAAATTAAGCATTATGCTCAGTGAAAATACTCATGCAGATTCGATGACAAGTGCAGCGATACTTTAATATTTTTATAATGAAGATTTATCGTTTGACAAAAGTGCAACAGCGCAAGTTGCAATTGAAAGTGCTTCGGGGATTGAGGCTTCCTGCGCTTTTTCCGCCTCTTTATTGTGCCAGTAAAAAAAATACCATCGCGAGGCTGAGCATCTTTTCGGCTCGGCATTTATTATTTATGGGCATTCGCAATTGTACTGAATTTTGAGAGATTAATTCTCGGCGGTGATTTAATCGATATTCATGTGCTACAATCATCATCATCAATTAGCCCACGAAGGCGGAAATGGATTATTTAGTCCATTGCGGAGATTCAGTAGCCATTTTTTCTGCCCTGTCCAGCAATCGATATTAAAACATAAAGCATCTTTTTCTCTCCGCCACTCACTTCACCCATGAGAACTCTCCCAAATACATAATTTCACCCAGTCGGAGTCGTCAGCATGGAAATTGCTCGCGATTTCGCACAAGTGAAACAAATTGTTAAGCACCCATTTTTCACGTGGACCCACGAGCTTCATTGGTCTTCGATCATCACCCAGAATAAAGGCGGTGTCGTGAGCAAAAAATCATCCAACTGCTTTATAATTGAAATCATCAATTATCAGCATAGCTCTTTAAGGCTTTTCTGCTTCTTTTTTTAGCGCCCAGAAGAAAACTAAGAGGCTCGCAAGTTGCTGAATTGCTTGATGATCTGTTCAAGAGCTAAGGAACCTTGTCACTTAACACTTAACGCTTATCTGGCGAGGCAGATTTAGCTACTATTACATTAGTTAAATTGTTAGTCAATCGATAATTTTGCCGTGCTGTTAATAAATTTACGCTCCAGTCCTGAAATCGCCACTTATCAGCCCTCTGCAAAGTAATACCAATGGCGGGAACTGGAGATGAAGTATGCGTAATTTAGTAATTTCTGCTTCGGAATGTCTCATAGTGTCGAAAATGGCCTCAAATTAATTTCCAGTGGGCGTTTCGGTCTCCCCAGAGAGAGAAAAAAATGATCAACCATGTAATTTCTTGGTTAATTTCACCGATAAATGCCATTATGTGTGTGCAAAAAAATTGTTAATACTTTATCAATTGGGTGAAATCTCAGGTGTCTCAGGAGCTCCTTGGGCCATGCGGAGAGTGGCTCGTTTTGGGTGCTCCTGAAGACAAGAAAATGAATAAGTGACTACAAGACCCAATTGAATGTTAGCAATAACTCCTTTCCTCATCGCCATCGCCAGAGTCCCGCAATTGAATTGCGCGCGTTTCGGAATTGGTGAATATAAATTCGTGGATCGCGTCGTCAAACCGGATTCCGTGCACTCCAAACCGAGTGAAAATGCACACAGACTGTCCAGAAGGTAGAACCCCAAGATGGGTAGAAAAAAGGCAGGAATGCGACCATGCGATTCCTTATGCGAATGACGCTTTGCATTTTGATATAATTCCTCTGCACTCTTTCGATATGAATTTATGAAAAATTTTACGCCATCGGTGTTCAAGAAGAGGCCCGCGTTATTTATCAAATTGTACATATCTCCTCATTTTAGCTGTCTTAACAATAACATTTCTGGCCATGGCCAAAACACCCAACCGATGCAAAAAGATTCTGGCTGCACTCAATCGCGCGCTGATCCTCTTTTATGCAGAACCACAATCGCGATTCGTCATAAATCACTTTTTCTCCACAACACATACAAGACGCGAAGTCAAGTAATTTTCGGTGAATTTCAAATTGAAATCAATTTATTAAAATTAATTTAATTCTCCAGCCGATTTTTCATTCCTGCACTTTTCGCTTCTCAACGTTGATCATCGTTTTTGCGGCTCAGCGCTGACTTAATTCAATTTGATGTCTAACAAGAGAAATGTCGATTCGCACAGCATCACTTTGCGCCCTTCACAGTGACCTCTTTAAGTGCGCTCTTCCGAGTGTCATATGACCATGCATGTGACACTCAAGGGACACGTCACATGAATCGTCCCTTGAAACGAATCGTGTGTTTCTTAGACTGTCCTCTGACAAGTACTATCCGGTATATTTACATAAGCAACAAAGATTCAGTATTTCAGTGGCTGTCATCACACGGGAATTCCAGCCGAAACTTCAGGTGGCAAATGATCTGCGCTTATCGCGACAAGAAGCAGAATTATAAGCTGGAAATTCGAAAAAGTCACATCACGATTGATCGTCTAGGCGATCAACCGCTAAGATTGTGTTGTTCGGTGGAGATGACGAGCAGAAAAAAAAACTGTTTAGACGATCCAATTACCATAAATGCACAATAAGTCTCAACAGATTCGGACAAATTCGATCAATCTCACACGTGGGATGGCTCTTTTTCCACTTGAGCGTCTCCAGCAAATCTCTCAAGAAGCTTCCCAGAATGAACTCATCAGTTTTTTTTCTCTCTCCTTTTGTCACTCACTTCAGCTCGTTCTTTTTTTACCTCGTGTGCGTGGAAGTCACAAACAATGAGTGGTGAGTTCATAGGCTTTGACATGCAAAGTAGGTGGAAAACGTTAATTGATCTCTTTATAGAGAATATCCAAAACGTATTTGTCCCTGGAAATCAGGGTCAAGACAAAAAGTCTCTTTCATGTTTGGCGCGCAAGTCTGCGTTAGGAGAAAAAAAGGTTGAGATGAAAGAAAAATCTCTCTCGTTCAACTCAAATGAGATCAATTTTTCACGCAGCCGATTCGTCCAATGAATCACGATTTGGAGTGTTAATTAAATTAAGCTAAACGCCCAGGTTAATTGCATGAAATCACGAGTGAGCTTTGAGAGGAGGCGAGCTCGGTATTTTTGTAATGTTGGCATTTGCGCGCGCAAATTGATGATGCGCGCTGTTCCTAATTTTCCCGCGGTGGCGCACATGGGAAAAATGTGCTCCACAAATAATATATCTCGGATTCTGTGGCCAGAGAGGATCATTTTACCATAAAATCCACATTATTAGTATGCAAATGTTGTGGTGTTTCTGGCTTGATTTGTAGATATGTTTCCTAATCTGCCATGATTGCCGATGCTTTGCGTCACCTTTTCTTCGCCTTGCTCCCCCATTAATCACACGGTATGAGAGAGCGCAGAGATATAAGCTCTCGCGGCTAATTAGTATTGAAATTGAATGGGATCAAATCGGACCAAATCAACATAGCGTTTGGGGGGATTTGGTGGTCATGAGTATATTTGGACTGGTTCTTGTGCATCCGCCGATCTCATAAATCACCTCAACATATTTCGTCTCACCGCAAAAGACGCTCTTCGACTCTGGCAATGATGTTGAGAATCATTCGGTGGCTTTTTGTGCGCCAACTTCATCATCATCGCGTGTTTTGCTGATGGTTGTTTGTGAACCTTTGCATTTAATCGAGCTCCTGAAAAGTCTTTTGATTTTCTTCACTCTGGTAGGACCGAATCCAGCGACAAACATTGAGGCTCTGCACAGTGAAACATCCCATGTTGGGTGTTCATTAAAATGCCTTCTGTTGAGGTGAAGATCTGTCTCTTGCTTGTGGTTGCAGACAATAAAAAGTGAGCACATGAAAATGATATTCGGGCCAAGAATAGCAACCACCTTGAGGCACTTCTTGTGCGTATTCGGCGGCAGCCGAAACCAATTTATGGAGATTAGATGGCTTTATGGACGTCTTTTGTGTGCGGGGACTTTCTAATATTTTTATGAACCATCACACCAAATTATGCTAGCGCAGAAATTAACTGGCACACATGGAAATTCTTCACAATGCTCCATATTCGACAGTCTATTTATCCAAGCAGCCCAGAGAGACTTCCCCTTCGCCGAGCAGCACAAGAATTAATGAATCTCTCAAGATTGAGTCCCAGAGAGAGAGAGAGGTGTGAGTATGGAAAAAATTCCGTTGACATAATCGTAGCATCGTGATGTCTTTCACTCTTCGCCCCTCGCGAGATGTGCCGCCGCGCGTATTCCATCAATTTGTACCACTCTCGCTAGATAAACCACCTCTTTCAACACACTAAACACCCAAATCAGCTTAAGTGAATCACACAATTCGTCCCCCGAGTCACTCCAGAGCCTCTTTCACGCGGAAGATCACGGAGAATCCGTCCCATTGTTGTTGACTTTGACTAATGATGATGAGGATGACACAACAGAAACATTCCTTCAGACACCACACATAAACGACGTCTTGTGATTCGCCTCGACAAGGCGCGATGGAGGAGAAATATCATCGCTGCAAGATGCATCAGAGGTATTTTGTGGATGACGAAAAAAAATACGAAACAGGATGAGCAAATATGTGGACAAAATGCCACGGAATTGTGCTCTTGTTT